AAAAACTTAAAATATATTTCAAGATACGACAACAAAGATAAATATTTGTTTTATCGTCGATACTCTCGGAAGACTTCAACTTCTCAACAAGGAATTGCAGGAAAAAAAGTCTATTATTTTTAGAAATTTTAAAAAGATTCGAATGTTTACCAACGACGCCAAGAAAATGATCAGCGAAGTGTTTAACAGGTCTTACGAACATTTCCCGCACATGAAGGAGTTTGACGATGAAACATATGCAATTGATGGAATGTTGGAATTGTTGGATTGTCTTGGATTGTCCCTTATCATAAGATTTTCTTCTGTGGCAATTGCTCCTGTTTTCAAAGGAAGCAGTGCCGAGTTTATTAAACATCAAACACAAAACACCGAAAATAATAACCAACAATTGAATTAGTACTGTGACTTCACAAACAACTTTGATGCGTATATAATTGGTAAGTTAAATACCTGATATATTTGAATATTATAAAAACGAAATTCTTGATTTACGAAATTATTCTGACATTTCAACTTTCAGGGAAAAATTACACCAAACAAAAGAAGCAAAAAGTAAAAACGGTGTTCTGACAAGTTCCGTTTCTTTGGATCTTTTGGATTATGTTCCAATACTTAGTAAGAACTCGAGGTTTTATTATCTTTTGGTGTTTTTCTTAAGGATTCCTCCAACAACGGCGATGGTTGAGTCGAGTTTTTCCATATTGAAAAGATTCTCACAGTGTAATATCACTAAAGAAAAATCAAGAGAGCGAGTTCTTGTTAAGGACTTTTATTTAACACGTTCACGTTCCATTTATTTTTTGTTTTATAAAAAATCTTTTGCTGTGAAAAAATTTAAGTTTTGCAATTGTTTTTTTAATAACTGAAAAAACCGTTCGCATTTCTGACGACGTTTTTTTGCAACGATCTTAGTAATATTATAATAAGACATTATAACAAAAACAACTAAGATTTATGAATCAATTCATTTCTTCACTTTAATAAATCCGAGAGTACGTCGTGAATTAACACATAACTTATTAATCGTCGTTTTGTGTCGTTTATGTCAAGTGTCGCGCACATTTCCGCGACACTTGACATAGAGAACATATGTTTTAGCAACGACGCCTCTTGCAAGCATCACGCCTCAACTTTGTCTTTTCGAATAATACATTTTGTTTAATTTTTATTATTCGTTAAACTCGGCCACGGAAACGTGCGCGTAAATGACACAAAACTGCAAGTCAAAAATTGAAGGTCAGTTATACATTTGAACATAACAGTGTTACAATCGACAAACTTTCCTTGATTTTTTTTTAATTTTTATGTGATTATACTTTAATTGATAGTTTCAAGATGAGTATTAATTAAAAAGTGTTTTGTGTTACAAATCAAAAAGGCAAAATAATTCGATTGGTATATAACAAAAATTAGTTGTTTTAAAATGAGTTTAAAAACTGTAACGTGTTAAACAAAAAAAAAGAAAATCAAATACAAAAATCAAAAACCGAGAAATGAATAATAATTCGAATGTGGAATTAATTTATTATGTATAATTATTTGTTATTTTAAAATTATAATTATTAAATAAATAAAAAATTGTGTTGTTATTTTAGTTTTATATTAAATTAATAACAATTAAGTAGTTTTTGATTGTAAAAAAGTTTTTAAAACAGTTGAAGTTTTTTTTACCTAAAAGCAATAGTTGTCCTGGAATAATTAATTGTCTTTAGTAAAAAATAAAAATTACATTCTATTAACACGTGTCATTTTTTGTTGATGTGGTGAAACGTGGTGGCTGGTTTTTTGAAAAAGGAGGACCCTGCGTGTTTATACGACCCTGGATTTGATCAAAAAATAATTGATTTTTGAAAGAGACAAAAATAAACATAATTTATTCCGATAATTTACAACAAAATCCATAACATCTCGTTTGTATATTTTTCCCGAAATATTAAATTAAACACCTACAAATTTAGAATTAAAAAATAAAAAGTGTTTAATTGTTAAGCAAATTACTTAATCTACAAAACGTTTGTGTACACAAGCTAAAACAATAATAAAAGATTTACCATATTACTTGAAATTTATAAACATTCAAATATTAAAAAAAATAATTTATATGAGAAATTTTGAAAAAAATGATAAGAAAAATAAGAATTTCAAGATAAAAATGCGAATAAAATCTTTTGATTGTTTGTTCTTGTCGTTTAATTATAATTTATAAAAATACTCAAGATCGAAAAAAATCTATGTAAAAATCACCGAACAAACGCGACCCAACTTTAAGAAGAGAAAAAAATATATTGAATTGTGTTAAGAAGTACTCTATAATACCTTTATATGAAGGCAAAAAAACTTATTACTTTTGTCCATTTTGTTTAAGATGTTTTATTTACAAGACCAACTTAAAACATAAGATGTATTGTTCTAAATATACAAAACCGAAAAACCAATTATTTTTTAATGATTTTCAAACAAGTACACAAAACTACATTGAAAAGGCAAAACTCTATTTTGAAAAATACATCAACGAAACCTATCACACCCGTTCAAAACTTCAAATTTCGTCAACTTTGAAAACAATAAAACAACAATCGGACTTAATAAACGAAAGTAATTGTTTTGAAAGTGAACAAGAACATAAAAACGAAGTGATTTCATTTCCAAAAAATGAACTTGTGTCTGATTTCTATAAACTAGTTGGTTGTGACAAAACTTTTAAAAATGTTATTTCAGAGCTAAAATCCCAATTGACGTCAACTTCACATTCAAAAAGAGAAGAAAAAACGCAACGTGTATTTAAGTAAATTTTTTTCTGTTTCCACCACAGAAATTGAAAATAAAACATCAATGTCGAAACAACAAATCAAAGCAGTTGAAACCATAGTTAGCAATTTTGCAAATTTATTTATGATGAAAGTGTGTATAACAATTTAATGAAAAATATACACATTTCATACAGCAACACAATAAATATAATAAATTCATTAAGCAATGAAAACAGGGTTGAAACGGAAAGATATTTTATGAATTGTGTATGCTTTTCTTTGGCGTTTGACGGTACCAAAAAGAAAGGTAAAGAAGTTCTGGGACTTATAGGATGGTTTGCTTTTGAAGATTTCTCTGTTGCTCAAGTCATTCTTGTTATTGGAGAAATACACAAGAAGACCAATTCAGAAAATTTAAAAGAATGGGTATTACATCATTTAGAAACATTCAAAGCTCCAATAAAGAAATTGGTATTTTCCACACAAGATGGGGCCAGTGTTATGAGTAGTCTTGATAATGGGTATGGAGTTAAAATTGGAGAAGTCAAAAACAGAATGATTAAAATGGAAAATGAATTACAATTACAAAATAACTTGCATAATACAAAAGATTTTGATTTAATAGAAAATGTTTATATGTCTTTTTATTGTATGTGTCATAGATTGAATGTTGCCGAAGGTTATTTGTGGAAAACTCATGATGGTCAAATTGTACTCAAGTTTTTAAATTGTATTTGTTCTGATAGTATTATTACAGAATGGAATAATTTTGAAAGTGAAAAAGGAGTGAAGTTTTGTAAAATACCCACTTTGTCAAATACAAGGTGGTTTTTCCATGAAAATTTGGTCAAATTTGTTTTAGAAAAAGTTTTAGAATTGGACAATTTTATTACAATAACGGGTTATGATTTAACAATTACTAATTGTCTTATTGAAAAACATAATGAAATAGTAAACCAAAAAAACAGTTTATATTATTTATTCATGGGAAAGCGAAAAGATTTGTTTGACTTAAAAGACCCATTGTTTCTGTCGTTTCTGGGTTTTTATTTAGACATTTTGAAACAAACGAAAATCGTTTGTGATACAATGCAAGAAAAATTTGGCACGATTTATGATGAAATTGATATGATAAATTTATAGATATTTGACATGGAAAAAAGGAATATGATATTTCAATGGGTATATTTGATGATTTTCCAAATGTATTAAAATATTTATACTTTGATTCAAATGATTTGGTTTGTGGTTGTGGAGCGGTGATTAGTGGATTTTTGGATGCACTTATATTACATTTTTGTAATATCACGACTGCAAAAACTGGTGCAAAAATAGAGAACTTAAACGAAGTCAGATTACTTTTAGAAGAAAAACAAAATTTACAACCTTTCGTTGATTGTTTTACTTTCCCTGAAAGGTATTTAAAAAACAAACAAACTAAAGTTGAAAGTCGATTTTTTGAAATTAACTCACAACTTGAAAAAAAATGAATTAATGATCAAACAAAATGAAAATAAAATAAATGAATTATTAAAGGAAAATTCTATTGAAACGTTTAATTTACTTGATGCGCTTGACTTATTTGGAACAGCAACATTTCCTTATTAGACTCAACTTGTACAAGTTTTAATATGTCTTATTCCAACCTCTTTATGTGTTGAATCACTTTTTTCTTATTATAGGTATTCATCAAAAATTAATATGAAAACAACAACTGTAAATAAAAGACTCAAATTGAAATATGCAACAGCTACTATGACAAAAATCAATACACCCAAAAGAAAAATGAATGAGTTTTTGTTGTGTTTACATCAATAAAAAAACAATGATTTGTGTGTTTATTAATGCGAAAATGTGTTGATGCGCATGAATAATGTATCTTATGTAATAAAATTTTATTCTTAATTGGTTATATTTTTATCAAACAAATATACAGTCATACGAAAAAGCTGTCGCGTTTG